AGTCATATGCAAGGAAGGTTTCAAAGTCTGGAGACAAGAAGTCAAGCAACACTTTGAGAAATGGTTGAGCTTTATGGGAATGGAGAGAATTACACTATTGAGAGATGTGAAAAATAATGAAGAGGGTTTCATAATGTGGAATTGTGTTTCTCATGTGAATCTGAGAAACAAATGAGCAGAGACTGGTGATAATTATGTCTAAACGACATTGGGGTAGAAGGAGCATAAAGGCCAGGGAGAAAGGGAACTGCAGGAATTAGTGCTGAGAAGCAGGAGTTTGGTGGAGAAAGGAGGCGATCCAGTCCCAGATACAGGGAAATAAGTCTTTTCCCTCTCACAAGCATGGCAGTCAGCCCTGCAGAAAACAGAACAAGAGAAAAGGCCATCATACCTGCCAGTCTTCCTGAAATACAGAAATGACATCACGGTTGCTATATCGGAATATTCCGGGATAGCTGTGCTCTTCTTAAAGGAGCTGTCATGGAAAGAAATAAAAGAAGGAATGGTGGTGATGTTATTTTACTGGGGGAAGCCTCAGGAACAGGCATGTAACATGAGGTACTCTATAATTGTTTCTTCAAGGAATGCATTATTTCTGTAGGAAATTTAATGGGAGATGGTTATATTCTTGGAGGTAGTTTCCCCTCTCACCGTGTTTCTAAGTTGGTGATCAGTCCTCTGTCAATTCTCAACTGCACTCAGATATTTCAGAAAGCTTTCAGATGCGAGAAAGGCTGATTGCTATTTTATATGTCATTAGAATTTGCACTTTTCCACCTTTTCATGGCTGCATCTTTTTCTCAGTGTCTCTGTGGTGGCAACCATGAATGAGACCCTGTCAGGTCTTCATGGCAGGGACAGAATTGACAGAAGGCCCAGGTCAGTGCATTTCAAATTCACCACGTCCTTTATACAGAAAGCTTCCTTCCCGCTGGCTCCCAGCAAGGGCATGAAAGCAAATGTAGTACTCTGAGGCTCTGTTTAACTTTAATGGGAAACTGGTAGGAGGACTAACCATCAGCCTTGCAAAAACTCTCTTAGAACTGTATTGATACCTAAAACTTCGTTCTCTTTCTTTTTCACAGGAGTCAGCTTTGCATAGTGGTCTGTGGGTTCTCCCATACTACCTTCATGCCTGCCCCACATTCCCTCAGAGGTGTCTTCCCTGATAAATTATCTTATATGTCTAATCCCATCCTGGATATATCTCAGTTGGTAAAAACTAACATGCCAGGCTTGGTTCTTTGCGCTTAGCTTTTTTCCTTTCTCTCCCACAAGTAATCAGTCACCATGTCCTGGAGTTTTATGTGTTACCTCTTTTTCTATATATATATGGAAACAGGTACTCTTGAGGGGCACGTCCTATGTGCCAGGCCCTGTGCTAAATAGTTTACCTGTACGTCATTTAATTCACACAGTAAGCCTGTCAGGTAGATATTATTTCCATTTTGCCATTGAAAAGACTGAAGTTTAGAGTAGTGTAGAAGCTTTCCTGGCGTCATTTGGCTAGTAATAGGTGGATCTGAGATTTGATTCTGGGACTATTTGACCTCAAGGCTAATGACGATGGTAGTAATATAGCAACGGACATTGGTTCGCCTGTGTGTGGCATCTTGTTTCATTGACTGCATGAAACC